CTTTGCAACTTGTTCTCTTGTTCGACTTTGTACGGCTTTAAGGCACTTCAGCTTCGAAAGAGGGAAGAATTAAAATAATGAGATAGGAAACGGTCTTCTAGCATGGCCCATGAAGAACCTTAGCTTGACACCTAGCTTAAACCAGCAGCCTTGAATCGGATGTACTTCATGAACATTTTTTAGGTCCACATTTTCCGGTTATAATCCTCACGATTATCAATGAAAAATTGGCTACAAGCTAAAATAAAATTATTAGGATAACTGATCTTAAACATGGGTTCCTGTTAGCAGAATACGTTAGGAAGGAAAAGGTGATTATGTATCCATTAGTGATGAGCCGTACCAACTTGTTCCTAGTGCATGTAATGGTCTGATTTGCGTTGGAATCCAGTTTCCCTTTTAGGAGCAAAGGGGAAAAGGTCGGTGGTGTTCCAGATGGATGCAGTTTGTGCTAGCTGTGGGCATTGAACCTACGCGTGCCAATGCGCAGAAGATCTTTAGTCCTCCCTCTTGGACCTCATGCTAGCCCGCTTCGAAACTAGATGTCCATACACAGAAGAGTATCGGTAATCCCACCAGATTTCGGTAACATGTTTTCTTAGTACCGTAATGAAGGATAATATCTCCAAGCTCAGATTGACTCTAAGCTCACATCTTTCTTTAAATACGGCATATTTTAAAAAAGTGTACGATAATTAAACATTAAAGGTTGAATAAATGATATGAGTTCATCGGGGTCTTCGGCAACTCAAATTATGGCAAAAATGGAAATAATCTCTTTCATATTGGTATTCAAATTATGGACTTTTTTCCACTTATTATCAGTGTTTTAATGGGTCATCAAGATCTGAGATAACATTTATAGATTTTTTCCCCTTGGCAGAAAGTCATGCTTACTGTTTTGCGAGATAAAACGAAATATGAGGCAGACGCACATCTAACTCAATTCTATGGCGCTGTTTAACTCTAGTAAATGGCCATACTTTGCCAATTTTTTTAAAGTCTCCAAATAATTATAAACATATCTAAAATGGGCCATCACATTCTCCCGGCCCAAGACCAGCAATTAAAACTTGGGTACTTCGGAGCAGCAGTGACAGGGATCAAACCCAAATTGCTCCGCGAAGTACACCTGACCATTACAGTCACAGATTGTGTTTTATGAGCGTACTTAAAAATCCAGTAAATGTATTCGAGATATTCGCTATATATTTTCCTGTGAGATTAAAAAATATAAACTTGGAAAGTTAAGAATTAAATTTTAAGTTCTTAATATATAAACAATAAAAATACTAATTTGATGCAGCATATCAGAAACACTAATTTCCATTTGGTTTCTGCTCAAAGTACTGGAATTTTCACAGTACTTTCAAGTTGGAAAGAATGATCAATTCTTGAATCATCCTTTCCTTTATCTATTCAAGACCTGATCGTCCGACAACGAAACCGATGGTGTCACAAGCTATGGGCAGTATGCCATGACCCTCTTCCCACTGTCACCACGCCTAAACTGTCGATTGTTTCCTTGCACACACGAGAGAGACGTTAAACCATCTCGAGCGTAGACCTCACTCGCTGCTGCTGCAGCATAGGACAAACGTGCTCCGCTTTCCTTCCAGCATATGAGGAAAGGCTTCGACCCAAAGTAACCACAGCTTCCCACGGGAATGAGAAATGATGTGCCGAAATTGAAGACTTGACTTGTGCAGCAAGAGGATATATTCCAAACTGATCATTCATTCCAAGCTCGAATATGGTCAATGTACAATTTGAAGATCTGGGACTTGGCTTTTTACAACTGAAACCCCCAACTGTTATAAAGTCCAGAGTAAAGGCCCAGAATGGAGGTAGCCAAAGTACTATGATGCTTTTTTGGAACTTTCCACCTAAATTGCTCTTCTCATTCACTTTGCTGTCCCAACTTCCTATTATCGTGGACGCTCAAAAGATAAATCTTGTATGATATAAATGACAAGGATGAAGTATACAAGATTCGCTTTGGATTCTCTGATGGTTGGAGGACATAGTCCACACACCCAAGGTCATGTATGTGTGTGTTCAATCTCCACGGATGTGATCTCAACTAAATTGCAGAAATAAAGTGCAAAAGACCAGATTCAGTCCGTCTGTAGTAATTATATCACCGAGCATCTCCGAAATTTGCATTTTCATTTGTCATGAAAACGCTTTTAGTGCCTCCAGAGAAGACCCCTACCTTTCTGACAGGGCAAAAATAAAATGAAAAAGTGCATCGAGGAACTGACAAGGAAACCTTTCTCATATTTTCCTTGTTTTCATGAAGTATGTCTATTATAATTATATGAAAATTTGCGGTTTTTTTTGTACTGATTATTCGAGAAGTTTATTCTCGCAAACTTACATTACCGTTTGACCTTATAGAAAATTCAGTTAAATTCGATGTATCAAAGTGATTCCAAGGGAACTATGAAACTTCGAACAAATATGGCTTGACCTTTGCTTGGTTCCTACAGTTAACCTACAATAGCAACGTGGTAATCCCCAACCCATAAATCTAAAGCCGGGTAAGGGATTATTCCTATCACTATTCCATATATTATGCTTATAAATTCTACGATAAAATAAATTCTACGATAAAATGTTTCATATGAATGATTCCCCAACGAGATGAATGGGTTGCAGTGGACGTGAAATAGGCCAAGTCTCCATATGAAGGTTATGTTGAGAGGTAGATATTTTCTGACTATAGCTTTGGAGTAATATCGAATTAAGTATACTGACATGTATGTAAAAGTCTTCCATTCTACACTAAAATGCCTCACATACAGCATTCCGTGAGTCAATCTACATGTGAGCAAGAATACTAAAACTGTCGGTAATACTTCTTCGGATACCATATTGATGATCATTTGATATATACAATCAAAATGTAGGAGACATTATATAACTCACTTCCCTTTCAGGCTAACCCATCTGACCCCATTCGTTTCATGAGGTCTTCCCATCGATTTAAACATATTTACTTGGTCATCACTGAAACAAGTTTTGACTTGTTTCACTTATGGAAGTTGTATGCGTGATCTTTACATGTGAAGTTGTAAACCCTAAACCCTAATTTTTGGATTTATACTTTAAAAAAATTGGATCTAAACTTGTCTACAATTGCGGTTACGGAGAAGTAAAGAGAATTAGACACATGGAAAACTTTCTAACAATTTTATATTTTTCTGATGAACAATACTTCCAATTACGAAGGTTTGTGTAGTTACCTCCGTAGCATGGATGAATTTGACTTATTTGAAAAATTATAATGTTTTGCACTTGACTAATTATTCTCTAGAGCATTAATGGTGGCCATTTCGGTTAAATGGCTGTGATACACTGGTTTTCCACTTTTCTTTTTTCGTTGTGTTGGCAGATTGTATTCACAAGAATGATCTCACAGTGTTGTTTTCACATGTACAGGTTCGCATTTATGGGAGATCAAGCGCTCGAGGGTAATGATCTGCATTAGTACCCAACACAACACGCATGCCACCATGACTTCAGTCTTGTGAAGGTCACATGCTTCCTACATTTCATGCTTATCCAGGAAGGACACAGTTCGTTGGGACCTAATTTTAGATATAGGAATCGTAAATCTGAAATCTGCATAGAATATGAATTGCGAGTTATTTGTTCTTAGCTCCCATTTTGGAGTGCCGAGTGTAGTCCATGGGAAGACCAAGATAGCTGGAGTAAGAAACAAATCTGAGATGCAGTTTTCCAGTTTTCCTCCCCGAGGAGGATTTCCATTGGGATCAGGTGGCTGTTATCTTCACTGAAGGGTTTCGGTTCACGTCACTTGAGCTTCAGACTAGGTACATCATCCAGCCATGTGGGTTTTAGTTCTAATCCAAGAATGGACAGGACGTTTTGTCATTGTAGGCTGAAATGACAGATTACAATATATTCTCTCGAGATGGAAGAAGAAGGGTGGAGCAGAAGTTCTTAGGAAACAAATTTTATGAGTCTTGTAAGTTTCTCAGCGAACGTGAGGGCAGAAAATTGCACGGCGCAATGCTGATGATGATGGAGGTAAGGCCTTTGACAGACTTCTTTTGTTTTGGTTAACAAGAGTTTCACGTTTGCATCTGTGCAAGAAGACAAACACATCTCATGAAGGTATGTTCCCAAAACTGGATCTATTTAGATATATTCCTTCTCCAAAGGTCACATCCTTTACCGCTTTTGTACTTCTCGTAGCTAGTATTTCTTCAGCGCTCGTCCTTTCGTTGTTATTTTGTATGCTTGCGTATTTGCAGCTGGAACCAAGTCCACGGGAATCGCAACCGATCAGTAAACGAAATTGGGTTGCAAACCGCCACTTGTAACCGTAAAAAGATGGATCCATGGAAGGAGATATATAGAATCTCTCGGCCACGACACGGTGCTGGACTGTGTAATCAGAAGCGGCATCTGACCGTCGATTATTTAGGTTTAAAGTGATGGTAGTGGACTCAAATTCGATGCGCATTGACTATGATGACATTAATTCCAGCCCACGAAGATTTCGTAATAATCAGGTTCTTGTGAAATTTGACCAGAAGACGTCGCCGGATTGCTGGTCGAAAGTCGACTAAACAAGAAGTCCTTTTTGTGATGTTACTTGGCCCCTCTCGTCATTAACTAACCAACAAAGGAAATGTCAACAAAGCGAAGACGGGCATCAAAGCAAATTTTTTGGCGTATACAGAGCTGGGCATAGAGGAGGTCCCACCGGTAAATGCAGCTCACTTTCGGAAACTTCGTTGTACTTGACCGACATATTGTGTCCTCATGTATGAATGCAGGACGTTCCAAGCAACTCAAATATGTAAATATCTATATCAGTTAAGAACTTCCATGCACTCGACTCTTGGTTAGCTTTTGGTGCGAACAGATCAAGTACATATAACATACCACCAGTTATCATTGAGATTAGGATGGACACAAGAGTTCAGAAAATTAGAAGATCACGGCCCGCCACAGGCCATTCCATCAATATCGATCCTTACATATGGACAGTTTTGCGGAGAATATAAAAATAACTCCAACACTTCCCTCGTACTGATTACATCTATTGTTCCATAACCTTATTATTCTCAAGGCTCAAGGTCATACGAAGACCATCACTACTGTACATTGCATAATATTCACATATTTGCGCAGCTCGGATGCTGTGTAATACACCATTGAACCTTCTCGAAGTTGAAATGTTAAACTAAAAACACTGATGCAAGTCTATACAATTTTCGACACTGCAACTATATTAGTTGCTTGGTATAAGTGAGTAAGATGCACGGCAAATTAGTGGCTGAGGTCTGAAACCTCTCGCACTATCTAACTCAACTTCCCCTGTAAGTTGTGTATGAGTACGGAGAGAACAACAATGGCACATGAAAGTGCTCGAAAACTTGATGCGGTTGCACTTGAAAGACAACGTGGACGAAAGGATAGAAGACAGATTTACCTTTACCGGAAGCAGCTACTTTTTCAGTCTTTGATAGATAGTTCCCAGTTTCAAAGGTCAAACGATATGTTCCAGCTTGGATACGATTCGACTTTTCCATCAATGGACCTGCACGACCATCTGAATCTGTGGCAGATGTGCCGATGAACTCCCAGAGATTGTTTGCTCCTTCTATAGAGCGCTCTAGTTTCACATCAATTCCGGCTCCCGGTTTACCGAGAGAGACATCCAAAACGTGTGTCGTGATAGGAGGCCGCAAAGCAGACTCAACTTTAGCTGCATCTTTGATGTTCATATCTGGTTTATCCAGGCAGCAGCCGTTAGCACGAGGGACCCCAATGGTGTGAAAAAGAAAAAAGAAAGAAGGTGCATCAGTAAAAAATCGCATAATCCAAAGCAAACCTCATTAAGCTCAAAGTAGCCTACCGCTTAAGAGATCAGTTGCTACTCCAGATTCTTTGCTGCGCCAAATGTTCAATTTGGCGAGACGCAATTCTGTGATCTTTTGTTGCTCTTGTGCTGCTATTCTCAGCTCGTCAATTGCTAAGTTGGTGAAACGTTTCTGCAATACAGCAAATTTGCAAGTATGCACGGTCAGCACTTAGCATACCACCTCCAAGATTGAATGCTAGAAATGCGGATAAGCACTCTCGCATCAAGCAAAAAAGATATGGCGTAGCAATCCTAAGAAAGATTGCAATATAGTTCTATCAGTTGCCTTGACAATCTTTGCCATCTGCACGGGAAATGCTTATGAATGTACATCTGGCAAAACCCCAACATTTCCATATGTTTTGCATACAAAATTTTGGAAATGAATATGCGTGCCACATGCATTGTATATATCTGTATGACTATAAACACTCCTGATTGAGATATGTTGCAGTGTTGATAGTCTTAAGACCCCACACATATGAAAATGTCAACGTAAATACTTGAAGCCTGAACTGAACTTCTCACTAGACACATCTCAAGGGATTATCACAGTCTAGCTTTTAACTTATAACCTACCTTCAATGCTGCAAGTATTTCATGAATAGGTTTCCCCGTTGCACATATGAGAAAAATGAATCCAAACTTTGCTTCATAAAGCTTGTTCCACTCTGCCAATTCCTGCACGCCATTCAAAGTCGAACCTGACTCACATAAGTTATGAAACAATGAAAGCATTGGACATGCTACTGATAATGTTGACTGGAGTCCTGATACACAGAAATGAAAATTTTATCAAGCAGTATGTCACATGACAAGGAAACTATCTTCTGAGGTTTACATAAGGTAATAGTTAAACTGGAGCAGACAAGATACGTTGATGGTCACAAGGATATTTCAGAGACTATAACTTGTGGTGATACATTTCGGGTCTGTATGTGTGATTTCAAGGGCAGAGATGAGAAAAGTACAAGTGTTGGGTGACATTTCCGTCTCATTATACGTCTTAAAGTGCTTGCTGATAGTAAACTGACTGACTGAATCAATTTGAACTGGAAGCGACAAAAACACAGTACATAGCAACATATTAACTTGGAAATCGGGATATTTGTTCCAGGGATCTAATCAGTGCAAAGCATGCCAATTTATGAAGGAATCATTTCCAGGATCAGGTGTACCTCAAAAGTCTATACATATGTAGCAAAATCGGGTACAAGTACTCAATCAATACGAGCGGCGGGGCTATGACCGAAACTGAAAGGTGTGCAAATACAGGAAGGTTCCAGTTTTCGTAAAAACAATTCTTTCACATCGAGAACAGATTTGCAAAATATTTGAATACAGCCTGAGAAATATGATGCCGATCTCTTTAGTTAAAAGGAGACATCAACCAGTTGCATATAACAATCCAGGAGAGACGAGATTCAGCATGAACACCTGTGTAACTGGAAGACAAGTGTTAGCAGGTACCACGAAAGTACCGAGTAAGGGAGTTGCAAGCTTGGATTATGTGGATGCGGAGATAGAAACCAGAGGACGCAGCCAAAGTGTGGCTCGAGCTAAGTCAGTATAAAAGCATGTAGCCATCCAGACACATATTATCCAGAACATGTTTGCACAGTGAACTTTTTGGGAAGCCGACTCACTTCGGACACATCTCAATTATTTTGTCAGTGTAGCGGAGAAATGAAAAATACTTGAGTGTTGTAAGGAAAAGAGGGGAGTTTCGCTTCCCATCGAAAGTACCATCTTGCAGTCATTCAGGAAGACGACACTCTGCAAAGTGTATACAGAGTGTTCAGATTAGCATAACGAGTGCTGCAATACAAAATCAAATGAAATCTTACCTGCAAGACTTGCTCGTTGGCAGTGGCCAAAGCTGATGACTGCTCCCCAGCAGTCCACCTGCAGGTTCAAAGGTTGTTAGAAAGCTTTCTCACCAAACACGAAGAAGAAAAGAAAGAGAGAAGGAAAAGCATCTTTTGACCTGACCGATGACAGTTTAGTACGTGGCAGAAAATGAATCGAGCCCAAAGTGAACACAGGCACTGGAGCTGCATTGGCTCGTCGGTTTATCTAGAAAATTGACTGCTGTATGTTGCAGAGACACTTGTTTGTGCCAGCGAAATCTCTCTCAGAAACAAACCGCGACATCTACACTACAGAGCGACAGGTAGAGTTCAAACAGATGGAGACATGACGCCGATCGCGAGTCAGGTCTTGGTAAACTCGTAAGTTGTCCACCTACAATAAGATGAAAGACTCTGGACATCAACAGACACTGACAGAAAGCGTAAACTCTAGGACTCACGGTTTTAAGCCCTCGCGTGAAACATGCAATTTAGCTATTCATGTCTGCAAATGGAGGTGTGATAAGCACCCTTTGTCAGACGGAAACTTCTTCCTCAAAGCCTCGACATCTCCAATACGTGGATGTGCAGCGAAGGCCTCCAACCACCCGAGCACATTCACCTGCTCGAGAAAACACGCCTTCCTCCATGAGAAGGTACGGATTCTGCACGGCCTGGAACCATCCACAAGCCGAAAAAATCTATCCAATTGTCTCTCCAAAACATAAACTTCAACAAATCGGGAGATGAAAACAATTCACCAAAGCGCTCAGCTGGGGTCACGCCACAGAGCGCACCTCATTCCACCAGACAATCCGAGCTGTGTCGACGGCGTGCTCGAGTGAAGTAAATGGCATTCTTCTCATCATCTCGGATGCGAATGCAGAGCTACCGCAGCATTCATGGAATGTTTCCATCGTCATGCCCGATCCTGAGGCAGCACCACCTTCCATCGTCCAGGTGTCGTGAGCCCTCTCCCTCCTCTACTCCCAACGAACACACTCAAGCATGGAATTCCAGTCGCCTACAGAAACCACTGCACGAAACGCAGAGTCGACAAGAATCGAGAATCGGGACCAAGCGCGAGCGGAGCAGCTCGTTTGCGCTCACTGCGCATTCGTGCGAGTTTCAGACAGCGCGAGGAATTCAAGCATTCGATACTCGACCTCTGCGAAGTCCACTCTGTTACCTTTTTCCTGAAAAGAAGGTGCCCCGAAATACATTCATGTACAGTCCTCAAATTTACGACTCACGTGCTTGGTAAGTTAGTACATGTGGATCTGATCTGATCTGGGCGGGGAAAATTAGCTAAAGCGTGTCATTCTCGTTTTCATGAAATGGGCATTTGACGATTGCTGACGAATAAAATGTGAAGACAACATCGATTTTAAAGAAGTTTGTGTTCACTGGTTCCACGCTCTCAGCACCAATCACTCAGAGGTGGCAAAGGACCACGTCGCTGCAAGCCACGAGGAATCTGTGTTTACTCCTAAAGTCTGCGTTCTTAAGTTAATCATTGATTTAATCTTCTTGAAGCTCGTTAAGAGTTTTGTACGCATACATCAGAGCTCTTCTTCATGATCCAAAGCAATAATCACATTCTTTTCCTATCGCACTTCTTATCACTCGTTTAGAGAATTTATTCAACCGGGAGATATTGTAGCTCTCACATTCATCCCATCCCTACATGACAACACTTTGCAGAAAACCTTTGGGGTGCCCGAGGTGTGAGAACATGAACATATGACTTGACCACGGCCAAATGTGACACCAGTCAGAGAAGACCTTGGAGAATCTCGCTTTAAATCTAGTGTCTAAAGCTCTTCCTGCCCCGCTTTCATCCCATGCTGTAATCACCTTGGTTCATGAGTCCTGTCAGCACTTCTTCTTGTCAATTATTCTTGATTCTTAATACCTCTTTCCTTCCCTTATTTCCACTATAAGCGGCATGCGCCTCCTCAACTCTTCTTCTCTCTTCTTTCTATTCTAAAGAAGACAGTTTATTTGTGCACTTTCTTCATCATGCGGCATTGAACCATTGCAATCCAAATGTTAGTTTGATCAGTAAGAAGTTCACCTGATCAAAAGTTTAAGTAAATTTCAAGGACATGAAGTTTGTGGATGTGCAATGATTCCCATTGTATTATATCCATAAATTTTTTTAAGATTGGCTGACTTAGATTGAAAGAATCAAAATTTCCAATTTAGTGTTTTACAGAATATTTATCACGTTGCATTGATGTAACATTGATTCGAATATTCAGTTATATTAAAAAAATTTGGCGTGAAGTATAATTATACTCAAATATTTAATGATTCCAGAAATTTCCCATTTTCTTGAATACATGTATTTTAGATTTTCTTCTATCTATTGGCACTTATCTCTTCAACTATCCGAAAAAATATAATTCTAGAATGATATATATGCCAAATAATAAAAACACTAAAGTCTTACTTATTATGTAAACTTATGATTTTGCTTTATTCAATCCTGATCTTTGAATAACCTTCAAGTAAGTGTGATATATTGTAAAATGATGATGCATTGAAGTACATTGAACGTTACTCTTTATGTGGTCTTCTGAGATATTGAAATTTCGGGCAAATTTTTTTCAAAATTATAATCCGTCTTCTTACCATGTGTGTTAAAATTAAATTTAAATTCTACAAGTAAATGATGACACAAGATGATCTCATTTATAAAATCTCAATGCAATTTTACATATCTTTGCATATCTCTGTTAGAATTTAGCTCCCAGAATATTCCGAATACAGGTTTGAGTAGTATCTAAGGACTGGTGTGATTTTAGCTGCCATCTAACGACGTCCACGGACTCCAAGTGAAAGAAAAGCTGTCGTCGAAAGATGACGACCAACGTGGTGCGACTGTCTCGGCACGCGGTCTCTCATTTACGTAGTTCAAACAGATATAACCACGTCATACGTTCGAGGCACTCCTTCAGTGATTTAACCTTTTTGGACAATTTGCCGAAGAGTTCGCGAGAGAAAGTGTCGATTCCATCGCTGCCGATTGCTTTGTGCTGGATTCGGATTCGGCAGAGCTCGCGGGATGGTCTAGAGGAACGGGAGGGGCGGAGGGAGAGGAGACAGGGCGCTCGATCTGACAGGCGCGGGGCGAATTCTTGAGGCGAAATGGCAGGGAACGTAGTGCAAGCTGCGGCTCGCATATTCGGGAACGTCATAGGTAATGGGCTGCAATCTGGACGGAAGGTTTTGACACAGAAGATTATAGGGCAGAAGATTGTCGAGTGGTATCCGACTCCTATGCAGGATGTGGATCCATGTTTCGATGATCCTTCGGAGAAACGCCGGATTTTGAAGTTGGAGCGGCTGAAGCGCCGAGGCAAGGGTGCACCTAAGAAGGGTCACGGGAAACGTGCGTCTAAGAAGTAGTCTGTTTTACAGGTGATCATTCTTGGAACTTTTCCGTCTGGACCATCCGATCTCGCGCTCTACCTCCTCATTTTGGTCCTGCAGCTCGTCCTGGTGAATGAGATCTTTCGAAGATGCAGCCTGAGATGGATGGAGTTTGTACTCCCTTTGGTCGACACGAGAAACAGGGGGTAGCAGTTTGGTTGTCCCCAGGTTGCTGATGCAAAGTTGTTACTCGTCAAGGTGCTGGAGTTTGTTGAAACATTCAAATACAGAGGAAGAAATAACGCAGCTGTCCATATTGAATTTTGACCTCATCGATTTTTCACAGGGTCCTGCAATAGAAAAGTTTGCATTTGTACCCATCCGAAGTGTATAAAGATTGAGTTTGACCATTTTTGTATGTGTCAGTGCGTGAGATGGAATCAGCTTGTTAAGAAAATTGGAAGACTTCTCTGTCAATGGTAGAGTTTTTTAGACTTTGTCTTCACGAAGCCCTGCCAGACAAAGTGAGATTCCGGTTGCATCCAATTTTCTGCACTGGTCGTTAAATCTTTTCACATAGTCATGTGTAATATATAATGCTGAAGGACGTGCACTGATAAAGGATGTCTTGAGATTTTCAAATTTTGAGCATCAGAGATTGAAGGCTTGGAGTATACTTGATCCTGCCTGTTGAAACTCCATGAGTTTGAAGGCTGGCCTTATATGTTGAGTGGACAGATTCAGTTATCACATGCTCTAGTAAGGAGTGGAGGTGCCTTTACTGCAAGCACTCAGTTTCTGCCCTGTAGCCTGTCCTTCGTGGTTTGAGCTTTCTAAGGGCTCAATCCACCTTTGCACTCTACCCAGATAGGCTCCAATGTGGCTCGAAAGAAGTGGTAGCTGGTTTGCAAATGTACATGTCAGCTTTTTGGCCCTGGGGCAAAGTATGAAAGTTACATAGCTCCAAAATGTTGAATAGTACTAAAACTGTTTGTTTCTTCATTCTCATATCAGAACAGTCAGTTTTTTAGACCATTTGCTTAAAATCTTAGGACAAACGGTCCCTCAATAGCTTCCAAAGGAAGCTGCCAATGTCGAGGTTGCTTCCTTGAGTCTTCCCCTGCAGTATGAGGCAAACCTGATTTAACGGTGGCCCCTGTTAGATTTCCTGCTTTATTATGACCCGATGATCATCTCTCGCAAGCTTCCTGCAGGGAGTCTAAAACTCTGAGCACTGAGTTATATGCTCAAGTCTTGCTGCTGTGATTTCTGGTCAAGTTGGCAGTTCAAGTACAGCACCATTAAACTCGAGACTGGTCTCTGGTTTAAAGCTACTCTGAGTGACTTGACCCGAATTCTGAAGTGGATGAAGTCGTTGTGACAACAGTTCGTAATTGTGGAATTCACGTGCCTTACACAAAGTGACCTTGTGGTTTGCTGCATGGTACCGTGCACGACTTCACTCGTTTTATATTTCACTTCTTGGGCTGGATCCACATGACAACTCCGCGCGTGTTGTTATTTAACATTACCACACATCTGCTGCACCCGTCAGACGGATGGAGGTATTATTCATGGTTTGAACTCCTGTATGTGAACGTTGAAACAGAAAAGGACAGTTCGAGCCAACCACCATCAGTTTTCAACAGTGGTATCTTCTTATGGATCCGGTATGTAGCAGAGGTGATTTCTGTAGGATGCTTGAGAGGTCATTACAGTTTTTCAAGAGAGTTAGCCATCCCATTGGAGTAGTTTTTTCTTAGGCCATTCGTAAGGTCGTAAATGAAGTATGACAAGAACAGGCGTTTCGTATATTGCACAAAGACACGCCTCATAAGTTGAATTACAACTTACAGGAGCATTACATAGGAAAAAATACACATTCATGCAGACAAGTGCTGCAGAATTTTCAACTCGTTGTGGAAGCTTGATCCACTTGAAATAAAAACACCTTGAAAAACCTAGAAGAGCCGGTTTACAAATAGCTGCATTGCTTTCCCAATGTCTGCTCCCTGCAGGGTATACCAGAACCTGTACTTCAGATGCTCAGTCGGTTGATAACCGTTTATATTTCACGTTAAGTAGTAGTATTCTCTGTCTCTCTTGTCAGGCGCTTGTGTTATTTGAAAGGTTGAGTTGTGAATGGTTATGTTACGTGCTTTCCTTAACTTTGTTTTTAGTATGTACACAGATCACTCTCTAGTTTGGTGTTTGAAACTATATCTAAGGACCTGGGTGGAATTATATCCGGACTCTGATGTACTAGAGTATGTTACGGAGATACACTATTATGCAGTAGTTGGCTGAATATCAAAGATTTTACGACGGCTAACACAAAGATTTCTCTACTGGCCTGGCATCCTGTCATTGAAGATGAACACAGTTGCTCAATGCCTGACCGAAGATGTTCAGTGTGAAAGACCTCATATGTGGACTCAAATTTCAAAGCTCAAACAATCCCGGGATGTCTCGCTTGGATTGTTTGCACTTGGAAGGTAAAAATGGTAAGATATGATGTCAAACGAGATGTGTTGCTAAGAATATTTCCGAGAAAAGTGTGTATACAAGTGACTTGGTAAATAACATTGATCTGTAGCAAGAAACAGAGGGAAAAGGTAAACTATTGACATATGTCCAGTGTGAACTCACCTCTCGAGTAAGAAGACGGTGGTCCTCATTATAGTTCCTGGACCAAAACCACAACACAACTGTAAAAGCATTATTGGAGTCAACAACTTTACTATCAGAAAATACTCTTGTCTTCAGTCATTAACTGCCAAATCTTCAGGCAGTGTTCAGGCTGATATTTAGTATGTGAAATGAATTGAAGAAAACTGACGAGTTGGATGTGACTCCTGTACGCAAGTTTCTCTGTACTCTCATTACACATTCTGGATTCTGAATCAACTTGTTCGACGATTGTGCATACATCCACCCCGAAAAACAACTGTATCAATAACTGTATCCTTTGAAAGTATCAATTTGTTGACTTGGACATGATTTGTTTGTAGGAATTAATTATCGTAGAAAATAAATAGTGAAAGATCGTACAGGTTTCCGGTCACAATTGAGAAAGTTGTGTATGAATAAGCCCAGCTGCAAATCTCCGTGTAAGTCATGTGAAGAAGTTCTTCCTGTTTCCAGATTTCACGAGGTGAGAGTTAGTATATTGAAGGTCTGAAGGCTTTTTGTGACATCAATTAGTAAGATCGATTGCCAGTAGATGTTACAGTCGTCAGAAATTAATTGGGCAATTCATGGGTTTGAAGATAAGTTGTAGACATTTGATTTGAATACCATCATGTGTACCTAACGTTCTATTGATTAGTTTTGTTGAAATAAGAATACTGGTTTTGCAGGTTGCTTTTACAAGCAACATAGATCTGGTAAGATAGTGAAACCTTACAATCAATTTACTTGATAGGAAAGCTCTTACATTATACCTTGGAATCTGGTTGGACGTAAAAAACACCTGATCCATTGATTGCAATAAAAATCTCCTCTGGCAGCCTAGTGTTTTGAATTTGCTGTCATTATCAACCACACCGTCCACAGCCCTACGTTATCATGATAATAATTGGATGAACTCTGGGCTCATCCATAAGATCTTTCCTTCTGAACTAAGCTTACCTGCTCCTGTGCAGAAAGAAATACACAGGAGCAGGTGAGTGTAGTGCGTCTAGCAAGAATCAGCTTTCATCCAAAGTAAAATTCAACTTTTCTTGTACCGTACGTATTTTTCTATTTGGTCTGCACGGTCTAGAACTCACTAAGTTCGTCGTCGTCTGAATAAACTATCAAAGTACTATGTCGAAGAAAGAATGAATGCACGAGCCAAGTATTTTGGATCACTTTGTTCTCACCTTCACAAAAAACCAAGATGCCTCGGAAAGCGGATACCGGGTTTTGAGATAATCTAGATAGTCAAATCTTCGAGTCGCAGGACTTGGATCTAGTGGAAGTCCTGACACAATATTTACAACGGCACTTTTGCGCTCCTCTTCCCGTTCTTCTAGGAAAAATTTGGGCAGGAACTTGCTAATTGACAAACCCCTGATTCAAGTTCCATGTCAACAGTGTATTAGATATATGAAGCATTGTCACGGAAAAGATCTTGTGCGTTTAACATTTTGAACATTGAGGTTGGTCTGCTAAAAGCTTCACAAACAAGCCATATGGCTGTATTACTTGACAGTTTGAGGTGAGTTGGATCCCGTCTCGGCCCGCATTTGCAACGCCGCTAGCATCAGTAGGTCTTGCTCCGAGAGTGGGTATGCACCCCTTACAACATCATGTACTGCCTGCCATCCAAGGATATGTCTTTCCCTCAATGCAAGTCTAAGTATGAAAAGCTGCAGATCATGACTGCTTATAGTTTGTCTTCCTTATGCTGGAACCATACAAAGTATAAAGTTTGTGATTCATTTTTCGGAGATCCGGATAAGCTCCAATTAGCAGATGCATTTGAAGTTTGTACCTGAGAATAAACCACAGCCAGTTCCCTATTTCTTGTAGTCTCGGCAACTCCGGGGTCGTGATCAAGAAATAAATTGCGCTTGAATAGGAATTTTGGCTGATTGTCACCTATGCTGCCCCTTTGGAATATCTTATTCAGCACATCATCTCCATAGTTTGGTACACGATTATCACGTGACTTGGCCTTCTTGCCTGTGAGACGAAAGCCTCGAAGTCTATCCACGACCTCCGGGTAGCAATTTCCAGCCCACATACTCTGAACCTCAGCCACATAAGTCTTGTAGCCGAGGGTTTTCTCTTCTGTAATCATTCAACAACGATCGTCAGTGTTCACGAGGAATAATTCATGTCCAAAACTGAACTGCACATGCAGAGATAGGACGTTGAAGTGAAGCGGAAGTGAACACCTCAAGCTTAGGAATTTACAACGGCGCATCATCCAGCAGGCGTTCAAGGACGAATGAGCTCATGAAACAGTTCATGCAGTGAAAGAAACACCGAAAGAAGTTGCACCTTGGTTTGTGTCAACTTCACAAAGGCAGAAAAATTTGGGCTCCGACAAGCCCAGCATTTGCACTATCTTAACCACCACCTCCTCTGTAGTGATCATTGGATCAAGTGGCATTGTCTACAAAAACCAAAATTAAAATGAAATCGGGGATGCAATATTTGGGACTTTGAAGTACTCAGATACCTTCACTTCTTCGTTTTAAAGTCTATCAAGCATGTTCGCAAGAATCACTTCAACGTCTACCTTTATTTTGTGGTTATTGGTTGTAAGCTTCAACCTACGTAATTCTGTCTGAGTATTTTATCCTACAAGTTACCTTGTTAGTTGAATCAGGAAGATATACCGTAGCTGAAATGGTTCCCATCTTCTGAAGAAACAGCCAATATCTTGAAGTTAGGATGCTAATACGATTAAAGGTAGAGCCAACCACTCAAGAGCTTTGTTTGTCATAACACTTAAGTAGAACAACTAGCATGCTCCATGTTTAGGTCCCGAAATACATGAGTCCAACTTCGATTACTCCTCTCTTGGCAGTTCTGTACCAAAGTGCTTTCACATACAGGTAAACAGTTTTTCCTCCCACTTCAATAGGTAAGAGTACTCTAGCCATATTGGTTACTCGGATTTAGAAACCCACCTCCACAGCTTCCAATTCCTCTTGTGTAGGGAGCATGTGCCTTTGTCCCGTTTGCTCTATTTTGTGCAAACGCTTCAAACAATATGATGCCATACGTGGTGGATCCGTTACTGAACCTGCATGTTTGCCCTTACCTACAGTGCCATTCACCACCTGTAGAAAACTTGTAGGACATAGTTAGTCTTATAGCGCTCAACACACACAAGTCTACAGGTCGGGATCAAATGGTTACACTAAGAAGAATCATATTTTCCATCCTACTCGCTAGTTATGAAAAACAATATCCTTTACAGTGTCTGAACAATAAATAGATGACATCAGCAACAATTAGAAGAGGATTGTTGTCTGTAGCAGCTGGACATACAAGGTGTTCTCGTGCGGCAGAGATATGTGCTATCTTCCAGCATTACGAATTATTGACAAGACGATCCTCACCTTCTTGTTCAGACTCCTTGGAGTTTATTGATTACAGGTTTTGTATGAGATTATTTTCAAGCTTTGGAGTTCTAAAACTGTTCTAGATAAGGTGGTGCCGTCTCTCAAATCAAATTGAAGACGGTCAGTTTCCAGACTTGCCTGTTCAAGATGAGCTTCCAATGTGGGCAAAAAGCTCGATGAAGGAGCAAACATTCCACAAGACAGGGCCATTGCTTGCCAACCCTTGGTGTTGCTGTCGCTGCACCACCAACCGCCAGAGCGCTTCGTTAATTGCAAGTGACAACTTCATGACCGCAGTTGAGCGTCAACATAAATTCCCCGTGGGAAGATGTGACATACTGCAGACAGCTTCAGTTCTGAGCACGTTACCTATTTGGATTATCAGTAGTCTGCTTGCAAATTTGACAATATATTTCGTCACGAATTTCAAAAGTCCGAATACCGCCAGACAATATTTGCAAGATGTTGTCTCTTTCGTCCTCCCGCGAAGAGAGATCACCCATGTAAGCCATTAAGTCTGCTTCACAGCATTGGATGTATGAAACTCAGCCAAGCGGTGAGAAGGCTTGATTTACATCATGCTAGCATAATATATTGAATTCTTTGACAGTTGCAGTTGCCTACTATCCTTACGATGCCGTGCACATCATCTACATATTCTACATACAAATCCTTAGCTTAATAACATGACTTACTATCATTCACATACTTGGGGGAGACTTTGTGCGGGAAGAAGGGATTACAGGCAACAGGTTGAATTACGTGCAAACACAGCCACTGCATTCTGCTTGTCTCGAGGTAGCACGTTCTTTAGCAGCGGTTCTTTCAAAGGCTTCTGAACACGGAAAATTTAGTCAGGAGATGTTGTCCTTACACCAGCGACAGTCTAAGTTGTGACATAAATGTAGTCTACAAATTTGTAATTTTTACAGTGCATGCTTGATTCATTGCACAAGCACAAGCCTAGTTCTCTTTCCTGGGCTTTTAGACCCAAGAGATAAGTGTTAGCCCACAAAAGAAGTCTATCATTTCCAAATTGAGAGTTTTCATGTTGTTTCTGGGTTGGAACTTTGAGCAGATTCGGGTCCTCTCATATGCCTAGTCATCAATGGAGCTTTCCAAATTATGCAGGAGAAACCAAAGAACACAAGGATGTAAAGCAGTTAATCCTTATTGAGACTTTGACCACTTCACCTGTGGTGTGAGATAATGGTTTCAAACGATTTGCATTGTCAGAGAATATTATCGTATTCAGAAATTTATGAAGACTTTTCATCTAGTTTCCCAGTATCAGATTTAGCAGACAGAAAAAACCATGGGCATCTTATACTAATAATTCAGTTTCAATAATACAGTTTCGGTGCCTAGGAAATTTAAGCATGTTTAGCTAACGATGGGAGCTTGAGGCTTCTTGCCTTGGAATGTCTTATAACGTCATCTATGTCGAGTTTTCCTATGCAGCATCCACCAGGCTGAGGTCTGAAATTGCTCTTCGCGTATCCTGCGTACGAAAGGTCCTTTCTGAGAGATGCTTTTCGGGCAGATATCGATGCCCTGAACTGTAGCTCCTTTAGTGGCTGAGAGACACTCTCACTGCACACACAGTAGACATTAGGTCGGGCACGCGACCTCAATAGGTCGCTATACACAGATGTGGTGTAAGGCTAGCTCACCTACGGAGGAAACAGAGAAATAGTGTGGGATGATAGGAGCATAATGTTGTTCAAGACAAGGCAGTGTTCCATAGATGAAGGATTTTTTCAGCGTGTACTGTCTGTACATGCATAGAGAGAATTATGGAGTTCATATTCCATTTGTTACTGCAGAAAAATATGCACTCACCGTGCCGGCTTTGCGACGTCTGCTGATGGCTCCTCTACAGGCTGTATTTCAGAGGTAAAGGCTGTAGTTGCCGACAATATCGACTCTGTAACAGAAAAATCCCACAATTGGTCAGTCATTTGTACATATTTTGAAGGCTGATACAACACATGTTGAACTGCAGACAATGTGCACAAAATTTACCTCTGTAGTGTAGAAGCTCTAGACCAACAGTTTTAAGAACAAAGTCCGAGTACTTGAGTGAATTGGTATTGATATCTAAGAATTTAATCTTCTAAACACAGTTGATGCTCTACTGTTGGTTGACACTGTTGGATTTTGGGGCTACAATTAGGAAAATTGACTTTTCTTTCTACGAGAGATTGAGAAATGGGAAAACCGTGATTGTCTACAGCACGATTGATGAACTTCCTTCCGTCAAGTAGATGATCTCAAATACACTCAGGTTTTGCTCCACTTACTTCTGATACTCTTTCTTGGGGACGCTAAGATGGAGAGCCGTTCAAGCTGCTCGCTCTGTCTCCGTGCAATACTCAGTAACTTTTGAACGCTGGAAGGTGGAGTCTCTGAGCACATCCAATTGCAGTTTAGGAGACAACTGATCAAATACCAGCTTGATCACACCAACAATGTGACCTTTAGGCTCATTCGTCCCCTTTCTTGCTCTCAGCTGAATGCACACATGATCTGCACGACACTCTAGTTCAAAGATAAGCATGAATATGGAAGTTTTCTCTGTCTAAAGCACATTTAATAATGCGAAGTCAGGTTTGGATTTGAAAGGTGCATATGTAGTCACCTGGTTCACTTTTCTCACTTTTTTCACTTTTAGGATCCTCATCCGTTTTCTCCTTTTCACTTAAAGGATCGTCGTCCGTTTTATCCATTTCATTTATCTGACCCTCATCCGTTTTATCATCCTCGGGAGTCTCCATCGAAATTGTTTCCCAGGAAGATACTTAGGGTCAGCTCTCCTTGCTGGGAAGGGTTTCCTCCATTTAATCAACTTCTGAAAATTGTCACTGTTTGTCACATGGCTGGGAAGCATCGACGGCTAAATATCCTCGAAGCTTGTCTATGGCTTCCATAATTTGGCTTGGCCAATGTGGGCAATCGAGTGTAGTTCCTTAAGGTTATGACAGAACTCCGATATCCTTAAGGGCACTTCACTACTCATCCATCGATTCTACCGAGAAGCAGAGCACGAAACAGCCGCCATCAAGTGCCCTTGATCCCATTTACATGCCGTCATTCTCGGACACTCCAAGTAAGTCAACCGACTCCTTCCTCAGGTCGCAAGTCGTTCATTCTTCAAGTAAGTACCTGCTCCTGCCTGCTGCGTTTATCGAGGGAAGAAATTGATGTCATTTCATAAGGCGGTACTACGGCCTCCTGCAGCGGCGCAAATATATCTCACTCCCATCTGACAAATACGTAGCTAGTGATGGGAGGGCGTGCAGAAGAAGAGTAAATGCATTGCGAACACAAACTCCGAACGCACTCGTGGTATACACCCGCGAGAGTTCCCTTGACAATTGGAGGTTTTCCTAGGTTTGATCTCATCCCGCATCGTCGTCATAAATGACAAGCCTGTCGATCGAAAACACATTTCATGAGAAACCCACTAAAAGTTTCTCTCGCATATGTATATGATTTCAATTATCTCGAGCGCAGTCCACTGTGGATTCACTGTGGCCGTCAAACCACATGAGTAATGACGATCAATCCAGCTTGCCGAGCAGCAAATAATTTCATTCCCAACTAAGATGGGAACGGCCAAGCCTGATGATCACTTGCACATCTTCATTTTCAGCTATACCGCGTGGTCGGACTTTCTCGCTCCAACCACAACTGCCGTCACTGGGTACAAAGACAAAGGGAAGGATGCAGTTCCACAATTCATCTGTCTCACCATATTCTGATTACGCAGGCCCTTGTCCTTAAGAATAGAGAGTTTCGACGTAATTGAGAGCAATCTACAGACGTATGTCTAGGCGTGCGAATTCCTGAAGCAACTGACACCATTGTTGTACAAGCAACGACCAGGCCTAACGTTTGGATGCATACGGCTTTCACGTAACATAAATCTCCGAGTTCTAAACTCTGCTTTGACTCGTCGTAAGTTGGTTATTCATCCCACCCTTGCAGCACTGATCATCCACCGACGGTTAGCATCAAGCGTCCAAATCCGTCAAATTATATTCATTTTCCAGAAATCGGACACGCATCGTCACTCCTTTCACACTGCGCAGCTTCCTCAAGTTTTCTCGTGCAGAAGAAACGAAACGAATTTGGAGCATACATGACGTCTCTTCCGAATTCTCTGTCAGCCACCAACAAGCTTGTCGCAACGAAAGACAGCAGCAATTTCTGACAATCATCATCGAGCGAAAATCCCCTCCTCGTACGAACAATCTCTGCATTCCCATGCCCTAAATGCTCTTCATCGTCAAACTTCCATGTACGTTTTCTGAGTTTCTGAACCTACTGCAGTATTCCTCGTACTGCGTCGTCTTGGAAACTGCCGCGAACCCCGTACACCGGACAGGGCGGGATACAGTAGCTCCCGCACCGCATCGTTCTGCCCAACACGGAATTTACGCCACTGGAAGTAAGTCAAACCTTCCGATTTATTACAGTTCAGTACGTAGATCACGTGATTCCTTCGCATGGATTGCATGCATGCATGGCTTGCGGGTTGATACGACGGAACTCGAATGCTGACTCGATGGTCCTTGAAGTACAAAATTCATAACAAATATTATGAAAATAACACCATCACGGCGTTTATGCACGAAAATCAAGTTATTAAATGTTCTAATTACAGTGTAAGAATCCAAAGACTCCACCTCACCCAACCAGTTCTCTCTGCACAAATGATACAGTATATTCAATAAACTAATAAAGAGTCTTGAGTACAATTTTGAGGAGGATGTAACTCCAAACTAAATGCTTGCAATTACATTGCATTTGGAGTTTTTATTTTATTCTATTTTCATCTTCATTTTCAGGAGAACCTATAAATCTATATATATATATATATTATGAATATTTTTTTTAAGACTGATTGTTGATATATTCAGACTTTATACCATGAAATAATATGCATGTGAGATACTTCAAGCCAAATATTCACATAACCAAAGTTACATTCACATAATGGATATACTATTACAAATGCGTACCATTAAAAGGTTTGCATTGCAAGGCTTATGGCATAGAATTCGGGATGAATCAAGCACGTAAACGGATGGAGAGTAATCATATACTTCATTCTGGTGTAAATTTCATTTTTTGAACTAAATAAAATTTTACTTAAAAATAATGTATGGTGATTTATATCTTTAATACATATTTCATATGAAAATTTTTTCAAGCATTTACAGATGTTGTATCGTAATGTTATAATATTTCTGTGCATCTATCTTGTGGAACCTAAGTATGTTATTACTGATATGAATATATCGTTGACGCTTTCATGTCATGTTCTGCATTTTTGTGCTCTATAAACTCGAATGAATACGTTAATGGCATATCTATATGACTTTAATTGTGACATGACTATTAATCACACATGATACCTATGTGGATCTTATAAATCAAGTCTAAGAAAGTATCCAAGACATTTCATTCAATTTTTCCATTTCATTGTATTCAATTTCATTGCGTTAGTTATTAGCAAACTCAATTAATTTACATTTTCTTTATATTCAAATGTTTGGGAACAGATATCGCTAATGATATAGTACAATATAGCATGAAGATGGATAGAGATTACTAATCATACGTCCATAAACTTTAATCTTCAAAGGAATATGCATTCAAACACAACGAGACATCAGAATACCACTTGCTGGTTCTATCCAGTAGAGTGAGTTCTGAAATTCAAGCTTATAATATATATATCTCCAAGTGGGCGGACTGAAGCCCATATGACTAATAATTATGACAGCTACAAGCATCCACTGTATATACTTGACTACTGAAAAAGAAGAACCTTATTAAACAAATATATATGATCTTGAAAATCAAAAATGTATTATGGCAGTTGACATCATCAGAATCTTCCTTTCTTCATATATGTGAACTCTAATATATATGTCTTAGTAATCCAAGCCACACATGGACGCTTAAACTGCATTTTATAACTAATCAATACATTTGTACAAATCACCACACCAAATGTTTGAAGCTGAAACCAATGTATTCAAAGGTAGACAGTCAATTTAAGGTATGATTCAGCACAAGAGAAATCTACTCTAATACATAGTGTTTCGAGTTCGTGAGTCTAAAATAGCCCTCGTCCTATCACTGATTTACAGAAAATGAAAATCTTATTGGTTCATACGCAAATTTTACAGGGTCAGAACCATCGGTCGTATCACCATTGAGAAGAATAAGGAGATAAACAATGGATGGCCGCATCGGAATGAGTGACAAAGGTACAGACAGGCTCTGTGAGGAACAGAGTGTGCCGACGAAAGGACGAATGAAGAATGAATGAGAGCCCAAGTGGCACTCCGGATTTGCCTGGATCCCGAATCTCGAGTCTGGGTACGATCGGAACAAGTCATTTTGGAGGCGGAAATGCGCGGGTCGTGGTCAGACTCATGCCCAGGCGCATCTGACATGCACTTCAAGAGGGAGGCGAAGAGTCCTGTGGAGATCTCCGTCTCAAGTTTAGGTTGCGAGGCAAGCAGGATAACATATGAGTAACTGTTTGCGAGTCTCGTTAGAATCGGTGGGAAGACGAGTGCGTGGATTGACGAAATTGTTTCTGGCAGTGGGTCTGACCATCTGGCGAGCGATTGTGACTGCGCTGTCTGACGTATTCTTCTTCTTCGTCCAGTTCATCCCCTGCTCTTTGTGTTCGGACACCAAGGCCGAAGAAGTCGGCGATCTGCAAGCCGCCCGGATTTTTTAGAATGACGGCCGCAGGAGGAGGAGGCAGGGGCAAGGCGAAAGGGTCCAAATCCGTGTCTCGATCCCAGAAAGCAGGTCTGCAGTTTCCTGTGGGGAGAATTGCGAGGTTTCTGAAGGCGGGAAAGTATGCTGAGCGAGTCGGAGCTGGAGCCCCCGTCTATTTAGCTGCAGTTATGGAATATCTGGCTGCCGAGGTTCTATATCCCCGCGCTTTGTGAATTGAAGACCCCGTGGGCATCCTTACATGCTGCTCTGTATAAGTAGAAACGCTCTGCGTCGTGAGTTTGGAATCCGTCGAACGCGTAATTGTCTTACTGCGGCTGCTTGCCTTTAGAACATAGAAGTCTAGAGCCAGCGTAAAACGAATGCATTCTGTGCAGGTCTTGATAGATCGAGGTTCAACCAAGAGGATGCTTTTAGAATCAAGATGCTAAGAAGACGTTGTTAGATCTGTACTGTATATTCTTCTTGTCAGTATTTTTTGTGTATTCTTCTGTCTTTTGGTGTCGCCGAATCTAACGGGGGCAGTAATTCAATGTCTGGCCAAGAATTTCTTCAGTGAGGATTGTGTATTCTTACTCTGTAGAAACATGTAATGGCTCGTGAGAATGTAGGTGTTGGAATTAGCCGGGAATGCTGCGAGAGACAACAAGAAGTCCAGGATCATTCCGCGCCATATTCAGCTGGCTGTGAGAAATGACGAGGAGCTCAGCAAATTACTGGGTACGGTGGTTATTGCGAATGGTGGCGTTCTACCCAACATTCACAGCTCCCTCCTCCCGAAGAAGACAGGCAAGGGTGGGAAAGGAGAGATAGAGGGTATGTCTCAAGAATTTTGAGACTCTCCAGGCTCCAGCGGCTGTAATTTTTTGCTTTCACCAACAGGTGTTCAACAGCTAGAGTTAGTTGACTCTGATCGCCCTTTGAGATTGACAAGAACGATTTTTCTCTGATCTTTGATCATTTCTCTCTTATGTAAATTTTTTCCTATTAACGAAGAGCTTGTTTGTTCCTTTGGAGCGGTACACAAATCCAATCAAGTCCCTCACGCCTGGTGAAACTCTTGTAGAAGGGAGAGATCGTTTTTGCCTTTCTCACAGCAAAAAAAGCCAGATTAGTTCACTCATACATTGTCAACGGCAAATATATTGTGTCCAAATTGTGCAAAATACCACTGCGTTTTCTATCCTTTACCATTTCGAATCTCTTGCATCCAGACATCAGGAGTACAGACGCTGATGTGATGAGGTTGTCAAGATCAGCACGTCTTTCTAATTGGCTGTTAAAGTATGCGATATTTTTTACTCCAGTGTTTGTCTCTGGTGCTGAGCGACGAAGCTCCGTAGATATCGTTCATGATGTCGTCCATTGTTACATGATTAAGATTATTCGCTATGAACGTCTGGCAGAGGGAACTCACGATGTTTATGAACCTCGAGTTTCTTGCCATAACCAGCATGCTAGTTTGGAAATTAAATATGTGCTGAGCTGTTGGTGGTGTATACAAATCTGCTAGTTCGCTTGGACACGAGCCCCGACTGTAAAGCTGAATGTGCTTGTCGAAAAGTGACTCTGACGACAAATGAAGTGCACTCTTTCACACAGGCCATCCCACCTCTTTCGGTCATGTTCCTGGGAACGAGGACACAATTCCCTGCCGATTGTGATAGGTGAATGTATATAGGAAGGATGCGCAGTGGAGCATCGTTTATTTATAGCATTCGTAGGCAAGCCGTCACGTGCCCGGGTGAGGAGTAGGGAAGATTAGCCAAGTCAGCCCAATCACCCCATGAGATATTTAGGTGCAGTTGTCCTGTCCAAACTGTTGTAATGTGCCGAATGAACAGTGCTCCGTCCCGCCTGCCCAAGTTCTCTGCTTCGTGTTGCTGGATGAGATTATTTGTCGTCTGCCTGAGCCTTTTTCAACATGAGCCATCATGTTGAAAAAGGCCACGGCCACGGCCAACGTCATAAATAATGCTCAGGTATGGGGGAGTCAACTATAAAGTAGCATGGAAGCGATTTGTAGACCACTTGCACAGAGTTTGCCGACAAGGCGTCTGCCTCTTAGCCACTATCCGCTAGGTTTTGCAGAGTAAAATGGTTTTCGAACACAAATCTCCGTAGAATTCGCAAATTTTCGAGAGAGCACGTACGTGAGAGAATTGTAAGACATCTAACATTTATAGAACTTAGCAAGAGTAGCAAGAGTAGAGGCCCAAAATGTCTAATTTTTGACTAAAAATAAATACCAAGACATCGTGGAAATGAATCAGCTGAAGGATTGTTACGGAAATATGTGGACACACTTCGCTGAAATATTCCGTCAAGCCCTTTAAGCATAATCTCATCTCTCGGCGAGTAACGAAGACAATAGTTGGAGCACAGAAATCTACATCCCAAAATGTCAACGACTCTGAAGTCAGAGAGTCAACTTAACTTCATGAGATTTGTCCACGTTTTAATGAGCACAAGAATGACCTCGATGATTACGTACCCCAAACAACATTTTAAAGAGTCTATCAACTAGGGTAACTGTGCAAAACGTGAACAGGGTAGCTAATTATGAAAAAGTAGGCGGTGTAAGTCGCCAGTGTAAATGGACAGCTACTGACCAACGTAGCGACTTGATAGTTATGTATATGTATATATCCGAGAGATATTCAAGAGGTTTCCTAGTGCTGACAGACGAGATTATTGGTATGAAAATAGCACAGCTTGCCGGGGAAACCTATTCTACACGGCCATACTGGATCCTGAAGATCCGCAAATGTCTGTTCTAGACTCAATTAGACCCTTCTTCCTATGTCTCAAATTTCCAGAGGGACAAACAAAGGTCGTGACTCTGATCACCACTGTCTGTCCGAAGTGTCAAGTATCCAGTACTGAGGTGAGATTTACTCTGATGAGATGGTGTCTTCCCAGTACAGAACACACAAACCTTGGAGGTAATAAGTTATGGGAACTACGAATATTCTGAAGCAATTGTTCTCTCCGAAAGCTCATGCGATGCTGTGGGGCAGCCGGCTGCCTAGGTAATAGTAGGCAGCCTCCACCCTCTAGGTCCGCGTTTCTTCTCATCCCGTTTCCTCCGTATGAACTGGAAAAGCGTTTCCCTATGGCTCTGACGCCTGGGACACGACCCAAGATTCGATGTCCATCTTCATTAGCCCAATGTGGGCAAGGACTTGTGTATTTCACCTTTCACTCCTCGCTGTGTTCATAAACTTCTTAACGTGTCATTAATGCACGTAATGGAGCTAGATATGAAGTTTCCACTACCAGAATAAAGCTGGAGGAATCGAACTGAACTTTTCCACAGGGGCTGATTGCTCCAACAGGAACGCTGCTTGGAAGCAGTCGGCAGCCTCTCGAGCTCGACCCTCCACTTTATGCAGCATTCCAAGATTATACCAAGCAAGGTGATTGGTGGGCTCTGAACGAAGAGCATCCGTTAAGAAGCTTCGGGCTACGGGCAAGGAATTACCACCTCTTTGTCGTAATAAAGAGCCGGTAGATACTTTACTAGGCACATGGTCAGGATCCACGGCGAGGGCATTATTGTAAGCAGCCAACGCATCTTGCACGTTATTTCTCGCTTCATGAAGAGCACCTGAAAGCAGACACCGGTAACAAATCAGCCTTCGAGTTGAGATGAAATATTAGACGTCAAATTGACAGCTAGAAAATCACACAGTCAGCCAGTAACACGTTTGTAGAACGAGTAATAAGTGCTCCAAAATCCATTTCTTGGACAATCTTGCCGCACGACGGATCTAAACGACGATCATGCATCCTGAAGTCTGCCGTGTAGACATGAATGCTCGAACTTACCAGCTGCATGCCATGTTACTGCGGAAGAAGCTTTCAGGCCTTGGGCTTTCTCCAGACAGATTTCCGCGTCACGCCATTGCTCCAGAGACGTGTACACCACAGCTAGACCCTGCCACACATCTACTTGCTCGACACTCTCTCCTACCTGAATGACAGTGACACAGCTACCAGTCAGAATTTATAATGACAATAAGAACAATCTAACACACCCACTCGTCTTCATTGAGAATGACTGTCCAACTTCCGAAGAAAAAAAGTCGATCAGGAAACGTGAAAATTTTTCCCTACCTTATGTCTCCAACTCCCCGCCTCAAAACTTTTTCTTTGAGCTTGTACGAGTGCCAGCAATAACCTGTAGGTTTCCACAGCACGCATTGACTGGCCCTGGGCCATTTGTATCTTTGCTTTCAAGCGAAGCAGCTCGCCCTGCTCCCACTTCCCTGTATTTTCTAGGGCTGCATCAAGAGCTGCCTCTGCATCCACAAATCGCTGCTGTGCTGAGAGTATAAGCGCTAGCAATTTCCATCCCTGAACTGATGCTCCACTACTCAAATCTATAAATTTCTTGGCACAATCAAGGGCCGAACTTAGGTTTCGCTGTTCCGCGCATTCCAATCCAAGATCAAAAATTACTTTCGGGTCCTCCTTTTCAATGGACGCAGCTTCTTGCAGTGCACTTAGAGCCTGAGCTTGTAACTTCGTTCTCTCAGAATCAGACAAGGATGCCTTGACCTTCAAACCCAAAACAACCCCCAGTACATGCAGCGCAGTGCCTTTCATGTGCTCATATTCCCCTTTGGCATTCTCAACAGCCCTCTCGGCGTACCCTACACCTTCGCTGGAAAGCTTAACCTGCCTTGCGCAAAGCTTGGCTGCGAGTAGAAGAGACGCGACGTCATCAGGCTTCTCTACTGGGTTCAAAGACTTTCTCAGAAGATTCAAAGCGACATCGTTTTGAGAAGCTCCACTGTAACAAAGGGCGAGGTTGTACCATCGGTCCGGCCTACTTTGAGTACCAGGCAAAAGCATTTCATATTGCTGAGCCAAAAATTCTGACTGCCCACACACAGAGAGGGCAAAGCTAAGGTGTTCAATAATAGTTGGGTCCCAAGGTATCATCCTGAGAGTGCACTGTCTTAAAAGGAGGAGGAAAAGTAGAATGGACTCCTCGATATTGTTCTTCGGCACGAATGCCCCCTCATTCTGTGATCCTAACCATGGTGCCGACGCCTCGACGCCACCATAAAGCAAGAGCATCGCGAAGTCTTTATGAATGCGACCTGAGTTTTGAGATTCCAGATTAAAATTCCCAAGTAGAACTCTTCGGTAAGCACTGATCGCTTCTTGAACCTGACCCGCTTCAATCAAGGTCTTGGGGAGTAGCTCTGCAGACTTTCCGACGGTCTCCAAAATTTTGCTGTCCGCCAACCATGACGAAGGTAGACCTTGCGGAAGGGAAGATTCAAGGACCTCCATCACGCTCTTACACTCTTGGGCAGCTTCTGCAGTTTCAATATGGAAATCTGAGACTCGCTCAACGGAGTAACAAGTCTAATTGAATTTCACACGATGAAAGTCGAAAACATATCGGCGCTGAAGTGTTCGGGTATCCCATCGGCTTCAGAGTCAAATGGGCTCACAATCGGGATACGTGCAATAACAATTGCTAGAAACGAAATCTCAGAATTGGAGAACTACTCAGCCCAAAACCTGAACCTATGTGAAGAAATTGTAGGCAGATTCGCGTACCTTCAAACCGTCCCAACTTCTGCAGACACTTGGCTTTCAGATATATGGCCTCGAAGAGAAGATTGGCAGTATGCAGACACGCAGTCAAGGCTGTCTCGGAGCGTGCGCGAAATCGACGATGACGAGCCTTGTCCGAGGCAAAGTATCGGAATCGTGGAACCAGAACGGCGATATCTAATCCCTCGAAGAAGAGGAGCGCTGCTTCAAAGTTGCCTCGCTGGTACTCCAATCGGCCATGTACAGCTCGAGCTTCCTGTCCGTCAGAAGCAAAGAAAGATTGAGTCATCTGCGGCAAAGAAGGTTCAAACAGATGCGCGCTCCCTTTTGACATCGATCACCTAACCTGATCCGCAGGTCACAATCCCATGCATATGGACAGCTCATCCTCCATCAACAAAGAGAAATACTTCAAGTGGTAACATGGTTACCAATAACTCCATGGAACTATGTGGCCAACGCTCTCCATTCAGGGAAGAGCGTACGAGGGCACAACAAACAAAACAATGTTTCTTTAATCTAGTCAACATGATAATTGAAGGATCTCCACAGACATTACCGACAAATCGAAACTTGGACTTTGCTCCTGTAAATGTCAACGGCCTACTTAATACCTAGGTTAACCAAACCGGAACAAACGAAAGCGCGGATTGCTCTGTGCTTTGCTTTCAACCCAAATCACGGGGCGGCTATTTGACGACCTACCTCGACAATGATTGTCACATGTTGGATTTATTAGGTCATATTGCAACGGCGAAACTGCGCCCTATCTTCGACACGACCCACAAATGGTGACAGCAAGGTGGCAACGCTCAACTCAAGGATCGTGCGTTGTGGTGAGATAAGGGCGTCGAAGCATGTTGTCTACAACTCAAGATCGAGATGAATAGACAGGATTATGATGCACAGCAATGTACAACCTCTTTATTGAGCTCAAGTGCTTCTCGAAGAGACGTCTCCGCTTCCTCGATGTAGCCCTCGTCGAGCCTAGCTTCTCCTTCTATTATCTTGGAGGAGAGTCCACTCACTTGTGAGACGTCCTTTGTTGCGAGACCATCTGGAGGTGTTGCGAGTGCTTCCTCAAAACGATACTGCTCCCGTGAACATGTGCACAACATTGTCACGACCCCCTACTACCCCAGTCGAGTACTACCAGAGGGTACAAGCTCCCACTCACCTCTTTTGCCTGCATCGAGGACATCCACAAAATCATCGTCAACTGACAGTGGAGAGTTAGATTGGGTGCGAGCATGTCTCTGACATATCGACACGGACACCTTCTTAAGTTCCTATCAAAAGATAGAGCATAGTTATAAACTACTGCATAATGACTCTGCTCTTCAGAAATTGAGAATTAAGAAGCTAGGACTTGGTTACAGTACGAGGAGAAAATCATCATTGAAACTCATCCAGTCATGGCTGGTTACATGGAAGTGCTGTCCTGGAAGATGTAATATTTGGACACGACAAGATTTGGATACTTTGCAAGGACAAATGCAATTCACAGCCGGTAGGCTCATCAAAGTAAGGTCCACCTGGTAGAGGAACTACAAATTGAGTAGATTGTAAATCATACTTGGGTAAACCTTTGGCGGCGAAGATACAAGAGATTGGCATATGCGGTGGTCTAGGATGGAATGTGCAGGGATGACTTTGCTCAAACCTAAGCACACAAGATGGAACTTGAACAGAGACGCACGGGAACCAGAATGACCACATTGGGCCAGAGCATGAGAACGAGGTGACATTCGATGAAGGACAGAGTCGGTTAGCAGAAACAAATGTCTAAAGTGTGCCGAAAACATCAATGCTAAACTTGCGAAGCCAAAGCTGGTGGTTCAAGACATAACCATCGAACTATGAACCGAGCAAGATAAACCTCCGCTTCCACAGAACACGACGTCTGCTCTACTCCATCTCCACACCACTTCCTGCTCGTTCCCTGGGCCTTCTCAACAAAGAGAGCTGAAATCGGATCTTGGCGAAGCACTTACATGTTTTCAAAACCGAAGACAGCGATGCGGGCCACTACTGCCAGCTTACTCTGCAGGGACAGTTGGAGTAACAGCCCATTCAGGTCATTCACTTGCGTCCAAACCCCGGGTGAAATCAGATGTTCATGTGGCAACCGCATGTCGACAGCTTCGCTTCTGAGCATGATGCCTTAGCGGCAGCCGGCGGGCCGGCGATCCAGACTCGATCGTTACCTCAAATGTGGCGCTCTTTTCTCGTCCTCCTCCCTGTCCCCTCCTACCCTTTCCTCACCACCACCCTCACCTTGCAGCACGCACTTGCGGGCCCCACACCATCACCGCCTCGTCCTCCCTGCCACCCTCCCTCGCTCCCTCCCTCCGTTGCTCACTCTCCAGCTCCCTCACAATCGACACAAAACTCAACTCCACTCGGCTCAACTCAACTCAACTCAACTCATCTATTCTCGGCCGCTTCTTCCCTTCGCCATCGACTCTCGGACGCCTCTCCTCCCGCACACAACTACACACGGCTCTACGACTCTGAAACATTCAGCAACATTTTCCTTCACCACCATCACCTCTTCACTCGTTTCCGCCCTTCGCAGCATTTAGTGCCCACAAAAGAATCACCAACCTCGTGCTCTCCACTCATGAAGCAAATCTCCTCTTCTGCCCCATTACAAGCCCCGCAGGGCAGGAACTCTCGCCTGCAGAAGCATGACTCTGTCATCTCGACGTCGACGCCTGCTTCATCACCAATGTCCATCCGCAAGCAATAAACTAATCAATCAATGCCGGCAAAAGTCATCCACTCAGAACTGGCGAGCGAGAGCCAGAGCCAGAGCCAGAGAGAGAGAGAGGGGTAGGAGATTCTGCCATGTTCCCGGGAAGTCGCTCCCCGAGCAATTAAAGTGCACCGGGCTTCTCTTGTCGCTTAGCCATCCAGGTGCCTGGAAAACGACACGGGATCTCGTGGTGGACTTGGACTTTACTCTCGTCCTGGCTCCTGGGATACCGGGTCCCGCGATGGCTTGGTCATCAATGCGCGCTATCTCGCTGCATGCCCATGCCCATGGCCATACTACTTCTACTCATGCACACGGCCCGCACGGCGTCGGCCGTCGTTACAAGAACTTTTCGTTCGGTCTTCCGCACCGCGAGCTCCAATCTACGACGTGCAGTTCGTTCAGAACGGGGCTCGGATCCCATCGTACGGTCTGGCTTAATCGAATCTACTGGCTACAAGCCCCTAATGCTCTAAATCCTCCCTTTCATCCATCCATGCATCATGGTTTGTGGTCATTTGTTCCGACTCGGGGCTCTGCTATGTTCGGACATCCGGCCCAAGGCAATAAAACCTTAGGGTGCTACTTTCTGAAATACTTACCCATTTACCCCTTTTTTTCTCATATCTATTCGAGACACACCCGTGTCTCTTACTATACAAATTCTCTGGCTGGGCAGGAAAGTGCACCCTTTTTGTATTTATGCTATCATATAAATAAAGAAAAACAACGTATTTCATCTGTAAACAATCTACATCACCAATCTTAATACCTGCAAGGCGAGTCGAGAGAGTTCAACTAATTGTTGCAATATCTATGATACTTCCGACTATTTGTTTCATGTGAAAAAGTCAACTTTGTAAGAATGCAAGTTGGTCTTATGTTCCGGTCAAACCCTTCCGAATACTCCATGACATTCTGATTCAACTTGTGACATTCTGATTCAACTTGTTGTTACCGTGGTTTTCCATATATTACTTCCGTGTATGAATTTCATAACACTCCAAGCATGTAGTCATGATTAAGCGATCTTCATATGTAAAAAATATGATGATATTCTTTACACAAGTTGCAAAATAGATCTAAAGGTATTGAAAAAATAGACACAGTAATAAATAATGCATCAAATCTGTTTAGACGAGCATATTAGTGATTTTAACTCTTCGCAAGCTTGATCAATTATGCCTCTTCTCAATATTACCAGGAAATCATTAGGCCTAAATACATATAAACATTTATATTTATATTTATATATATACACAACACAGATTAGAACTGTTCACTGATTCTTATATGCAACACCGTTCCTTATCAACCATTGGTAGCAATACCAGGGTCAATTCGTACATCCGTCTCAACAATATTTTAATCTGAGTTTTTTTAAGCCATAAATCAAATTTTTGAACTCAAGTTAATTGAGTTTATAATAATTATGCATTTGAATAAAAAAATTATAAATGAAACAAAAATTTTGAGTGATGCATGAGTTGATGAAGAAGGTAAGATAGTACAATCAAATCCAATCACAAATTGATAAGTACATATTTCAATCATGTTCTTACACATTTTTTAAAGTCCTAGTCTTCACTCCAATTCAAACATTAGTGATAATAACTATGAAATTCCCTAATAAGTGTTTTCCCTAATTGGGCAAATAATTTTATAATTATAAAATATGTTTGCAAATATATTAAAATTCCATATATCATAAATTTCATGCAGAAAAATTGTGTAAAATGACTGTGTCATTTATTTTAGATAATAAATAAATTTAGTGCAAAAAATAATTTATATAATTATTAATGTATATTAAAATTTAAGGTATAACAATATGAATTATTTTTGGGTTGAATTTATTTTAAAAATCAAATAAATATTGAAAAGTTTTATTAATCAGTCTATAGGAAAAACCATATTCAATGTATTCTCATTTATCAATAATTCAAAAACAATTATAATCATCAAGTAACTAGCTTCAAAAATATTTACTTTTAAATATTAAGTTAAAAAATGTAATACGTATATTTAAGATTTGAAATTCATTCCATATTTAGAATTCACTATGTTCAATTTAAATGATAAAAACTTAAAAATTAATTATAATGATCATTGATTTATATTAATGTATAGAAAATTATCATTTTGAATATATGTCCTTTTAGAAATAATAATGGGTTCTTCCACCGCATTTTGATGTTCCTCAAGGCTAAGTGAGTACCCTTGTTACTTCGGAAACCATGGGATATATTCAATGTAATAAAATTTCAAACTTGAACATATATTCGATGTCACAAATGTAAATGATGAACAATATAAAATTAATTTTTTTACCAAATATATATAAAATGTAAAGTAATATTTTTTGAATTTAATCATGCTCTTGTAATGTGAACATCTCTAGCAGTTTCAATTACAATACAAGTTAATCGAGATGGAATAATTGACTATATTATGATGTTATGTTGTTATTACACATTAACAATCATTGTGTATGACATGTAGGTCATAGTGCAATATATGCGATAGTTAAGTTAACAATTTGTGTGCATGATAGGTAGAGTAAATGTATTAATTGACAACAACACATTACTAATTTATATGTATAATAGGTAGTATAAATGTGGTAGTTGACAACAACACTTTAGAATTGTGTGTGCTTGTTAGATAATAATTTACTGTGTTATTTGAAATCAACACATAAACAATCTGTGTGAATTTATGGATTTTCCGTCACCTCATGAATTCACTCAGAGTGTATTGGATGATGGAGTGAGAAAATATGTTATTAGACTTGTTAGTAACATCTATATAAAAATAAATGAGAAACATCTAAGTCGATTTTATCTTGGAAGTTGTGTTTTATGTTTGAATGAACTACTTTTTAGTTAGAATTCACTTCTAATAATTGCTATAATGAAACATATCTTGCCAATATACAAGTTAATATTATTTAATATTTAATCAAGTCATTGATGTGGAAAAAATGATTTAAGTGAATTTATATTTTTCATATTTTTATATATAACGTTAATATAATAAATTATATGATTATTGATGAAAATATAGTTGTAATTTTTTACATGAAGATGATATAAATCTGATTTTAAACTCCATAATAGATTACAAAAAATATTGATAGGTTTAATCAATAACTGTTATCGATAGATTATAAAAAGGCATAAAAACTTTGCACCAGGATTAATATATTGAACATAAAAGCTATAATTATATTTATTTCATCAAAATCTATTTTATAAAATATATTTAGGAAAAAAATAATTAAGAATTAATTCACTATTTTAAAAATAATGAATATGACTTATTTATTATTAAAATAAAAAACTCATGTATGTGACATTGTGAAGAAATTAATTTGCAAAATAAGTCAATTTGATTTGAAATATTCAAACTTCTAAATTTTACATAACGCGCTATTATGATGTTGACATTAAATAATTTCATTCACAATAATGTTCTGTAGTCATTACAATTATTATATTGTAGTATGAATCATATTAAAATTATATTATTAACTTGAATTTAAAATGATTTTATAATCTAAGAAGAATCAAAATGATTCAGGCAATATCTCATGCACACACTATCATCAATTCTTGCATCAATGATCTTAAAATTATGTGATATGTAAAACAAACAATCTAAAAACTAATGATAAGTGTATATTTTATATCTTTAATAAATTTTGATAGACGTATAAATCATTAAAAAAATTCAAGTACAACTATAAATTGAGTTTTATTGTTATATTTTCAAATTATTAATTGATTGGATATCAAATTTAAAATTTGTTTCTCAAAAAGATTCAATGCAGTTTTTTAAATATAGTTTTAATTCACATTTATGCAATTTTATTCAAAAAATATTGCAAAATCTATTGAATATTTTTATATGTTGAAGATTTTTGAAAAAATTGTTGAAATCTTTTAACTTGTAATCATAAATGCAAAGTTTTATGATATTAAATGTATACAATAGAACAAACCTATGAAAATTTGAGTGATTTTGATTTGAAAACATAGATAAGTTTTATAATTATAAATTAAAATTTAATATAGATAAATATTTCATGCATGTTTTGTTGCATATTTTTTGTTGTAATTATATAATGCATTGAATCAAAATTATAATATGAAGTTTATTTGATACATAAAAAATAGTTTAAATTTATAAATTTATTTTTTCCCATATTTCTACCTAACAATTATATGGAATTATCAACTCACAACAAGTGTGGTACTATAGTAGAAATTCCCTAGAGCGATATTCACTTAACTTCTTTACACTGCCAAATGTTTCCAATACCAACCACGTCTTCATAGTGGAACTAATAAACCTCCGTAATGTGCTATTTGATAAATTTGGTCTAGTTCCACAACTTTTGTAAACTGATATACCCTATATGCGTGCTATTTAAATCAAACAAAGTAGCTACAAATCTCCTTATGATGAGTTTTGAAAGCCTTAATCCTATTGTTAATCTGCTGAAGGGTTCTCATGATGTGCTCTTCTGTATTCGACTACTGCATCCAAAAGGTTTCAAGCGCCTGAATCATCCGATGTGCCTCATGGGCTGGAATTGGAGTAAGTGCCTCACTATCGTTTTTGTGCACAACTACATTGTCAGTTTGTGGAGATTTGATTTTGAATGACCACGTCCAAGTCCGGTAGATATGTGCCCACTGCCGCCATCATTCTGATGATTCCGGATGTCAATTGGGTTGATGTAATGAAATTGCCACATCCGTGACTCTAGATCTTTGATGACCTCATAATCCACAAGATACTCTTCAATAACAAGATCTTTCGCAGCAGCGGCCTCGTCTTGAATGACAAGCAGTTGCTGCTTATTGCTTAGGATAGGTATCACACTCCGGATCCTATAATGTTTAAAGCTTTTGACAATTATTGTGGGTTTGACCTCATAACTCCATGATGGAACTGCAAGTTTGATGACTTGCAGGATGTCCAACTTGTCAAGATTGAACACCCAGTCGTCCATTTGCTGCTAGAGAAGTCGATTAAAGGATTGTTGATAGTAT